AGTTAGTTAGAACAGTTAGCACTATTAGATGGTTAAAATTTGTTATTACTGTACCTGTGGATTTTAATTGTTTTAGCAATCTCTAGGAGCCTATAAAAGGATTGTATTAGATCATTGACATTCATTCATTCATTGATAATAAGATTGTTTTCTTCTCTCTACAATTTTCTCTCTAGCTGAATTCTCAGGTTTAACCCCTGAACTAGCTGTTCATATTCCTTGAGATTACTCCTGGAATTTGTTTCTTCTCTGTAATTCTGTGTAATTGTACTTACCATCATGATCTTTATTGGGGAAATAAAATCAGAGAACATAAGTACGGCTGGGAAAAAATCCATTCTAATTGAAGCACTAAGAATATCAAAGTCCTGTAAATGCATTTGGGGCCTTTACTATGTGGGTGGCGAAATTTGGTAAGTGGCTTAAGTTTCTCTATTCCCCTTGCAAAATACACGAGATTAAGATAAAGTGTAGTTACTCTTTGTTTTCTTTTGGCCTTTGTTCCCCTGCAATTCTCGAAGCTTGGATCTGACCAGGAAATTTCCAGACAGTTCCAGAGATGAAAGTAGGTAGTAAAACTAAGCTTAAAAGCATAAAATGGAGTTGCTTGGGGCAAGACACACCTCCTACTATTATTTTTTTTTTTGGATATTGTGGAAGCTAGCAACAGTCAGAATGGGGTTTTGGGGGATACTCGGATTTCAGTAAATACAAGAATATGGAGTTGAGACTTAAATTAAGAACCCGGAAATAAGATTTTCCTGTATAATAGCTTTACATTTTGGCTATTTATTCACAATTAATAACAATTTAGCTAAGTGCCTACTCTGATCTTAGCTACCCTTTGACTGTAAACTGAATTCTGGTAAACTCGTGGCTTTGAGGAGGCCTCCACATATATGTGTCTCCCGACTTTTTGTTAATAATTGGCAGCAAGATTGATAACCTTTCACACTTTAATAAGTTATTCATGAAGAGGGGTTTTCTGCTTGCTTGTGCATATTCCACATGAAATGTCTGCAAAAATGTACAGTGTGTAACATTAAGTTTCCTGAAGAATTGATCCAACTACCTACACAAAAAGGAATGTTGAAATTCTGAATCTTTATCTAACAAGTTGGAGCCTTGTCAATTAGACTACCTCATTGACCCTTTTCTTTGTGTTTTTTTGCATAGTGCATGCCAGCTTGGGGCACTTGTTTAAATTTCCACATGTGTAGATGGATGTAATGCTTATGCTGTGAGGTTGCATTTGCTCCCACACTTGTGTGACACCGAGAGAGTGCATATGTGTATACATGTTACATATAGTTCACATTTTGTTATGCTGATAGGATATGCTTGATCATACAGGTTTCCCCTCATAAGAGAGGCATAAGAAATGGACCAAAGGCTCTAAAACCAGTGCCAGTGATTATGCGGTGCAAGTAAGAGCTTTATGCCATCAAAAAGGAATAGATAAATCTTTTGCTTCTTCCCATAAATTAATCTCAATTGAAACATATTGAAGAATGAAATGTTTAGCTAGTAAGTGAAAACCCTGAATTTTCTATTTAGCTTGTAAACAACAGAAGATTGGATATGTCGACATATGTATGTCTTTCTTGGTGCTTCTGAAATATTATTATGTCTCCCACTTTCAAAACCAGAGACCAAAGCAAGGCTCGGCACAAAAAACGTACTATAGTAGATTGTCTTTCCCTGTAATGGAACTTTCATGTTGGAACAAAAACTAGCATGAAAGTCGGACTACGTGTCTCTGTCTCAAGGGAAGTTTTGATAGGGGAAGAACTCCTTGGAAAAAAGGCAATGAAAGAGTAAAAGTGTACTTGGGCTACCCATAAATTGAAAAAAGATCGACAAAAAGGTAACAGTATTTTTCTTTCGTCAAATATCCCATTTTTGAGCTTGCATTGGCTATCCAATGGAGTGAGTCTATGAGATTTTATTCGGCTGTCTGATCTTAGCTCAGGAGTCAGACTAACCATATGCTTCTAAAATTGTTCTCCCAAATTGGTGGGTTTCAAGTATGATTTGTTCCAAGGTAACATCTTGCTTGAATGATTGTTAAACAATAAGATTATGATTGTTGACACAAGAAAGATTCAGTAGGAGATTAAAAAATTTAACTGATGATATTTGAAAGATCTGTATAATTTTGTGATTCAGATGTGTCACCGTGATGTTTATCTTGGTCCTCCGTAAGGAAGACAATTGCTTAATGTCATGTTTCATTTTCTTGTCTAATGCAACGATTTTTGTTTTGCTCCCAGTCCCATTTTTCTTTGTTGGTCTTCTATCTAAGGTCTACACTTTTCCATGCTAATTCTCTTAACATCCTTCTGCTTGCAAATAAACTTGCAGGGTCTGCGGTCGGGCCAAATTACCACATTTCTTTTGCTGCAGTGGAATCAAGCCTGGTGATGAGAATAGTTCCAACAGTTGATCAACTTGAAGTGGAGCATCCAACATAATTTCATCAACTTTGTTGTTCTGGTAGAATCTTTTTTTGTTTGAAAGAAAGAAGTTTAAATATGCACCATGGCTGCACAATAGCATAGGCCTCTTGCTGAAGAACCTGTTTTGCATGTTTAAGTAGCACTATATTAGTTTTATTTCTTCTAAGTCTTCCCTTTGATTGATGACGACGACTAGTTCTTGAAAATCACAAAGCATTAGAATTCGGAGACTAGAGCACTTAGCTCTTTCACATTCATTACTCCGGAACAAAAATTCCTGATGCTCCCCTGAGCGAACAAGCAAGAACATACATCAAGATCGTCTGTTCTCCGTGACTATCAGAACTGTTCATGTACTTTGTGAAGTTGCACCGTTGAGTATGAAAGTTTCATATCTGTAGCATTCTCATCACTCTTAGTTTCTTATTTGAGTTCTTTTGTTGAAGGATTTGTTCTTCCTCTATGGCGTTTGTAAGCGCGCGGTATGTATGAGAAACAATCAGCCTAGTTGAAGCTGATAAACTATGTTTATGCTATTGAAAGGTTGGATTTTGTTTCCCATGCAAAACATATCAGAAATTATTCTTTGAAATATTTATGAATTTTGATGTCTTATCTTTCAGTTGTTGAGTTGTGATTTGAATTTGTTTCACCTTGTGGTGGTGGAATTACATGGTTCAAACTTGCTTCAATTGGATTCTCTTTGTCGGAAAATAGTACTGTGTAAATAGGATAAACACTACATTTTTTTCAAGAGTTAATAGGGTATTGTTTTTCATAACTAATTTGATTTGTTGCACTCGAGCTAAGGGTCTTTTAGAAACAGTGTCTCTATCTCCATGAATTAAGGGTAAGGTCTACGTAGCTTTACCATCTCCAAACTCCATGTGTGGAATTACACTAGTCACTGGGCATGTTGTATAAAAAGTTGGAACTTGATTGCTTTGGAAAGAGATTTTGACGTTACAAGCTTGTTTGTCCAAAAATAATGTAATAGTTTTTTGAAGAGATAATCTACCACTATTTTTTATAACCCAACATTTATATTGGTAGTTTTATATATAAATTTAAATAATATAACAAGCACACAAACGTAGACATAAATAGTTGCAAAGAATATGGAGACCAATTAATAGGACCTTGTAGGATTGCTTATTGACTTGCATTATATGATTTGAATATCTATTTATTGACAATAAAGCAACAAGCTGCATGGATTATGTGTCTTTTACACATCATGATTATCCAAAATAAGAATTAAATCTTATGTAATGCCCTCAACTTTAAATTATATCGTACGTTTTTGTTTTCTACTTGATGTCTGATATTCGTTTTGGGACCCAACTAATCCTGATTTGCATTGAAAGTTGGTCAAACCTACTTTTAAGTCAGTTTTTAACTTCTAGAAGTGTTTGACAAATATAAAAAATAACTTAAAACAGGTCAAAAATGACTTCAAATTAGTTAGGAAGTGTTTGGCAATGTCAAAAGTGACTTAAAATAAGTTTAAAATGACTTAAAATAAGTCAAAAAAACAAAAGTAGGTCTCCCCCTACTTCTTATTTTTAGACTTAAAAAAATCATTTCAGTTTGACATTTTATTTTTGACTTAAAAGCTACTTTTTTAAAGTCAATCCAAACGGGCTCTAAATCAATGTTCTCTACCAAAAGTGATTCATATCTAGGGCTCGATTCAACACCTCTAGCCTCTAATTAAAAATGAATGAATACTTACCACTCTGTCACGACCTCTTATAGTTATAAAAATTAGGAAAAATTACATAAGTGAAGTCTTTTATTTAATAATTACCACTTTTAAGTATACTTTTAATTTATTACCATTTTTGTCAACTTTTAGCAATACTTGCTTAAAACAATTTTGTTCCTTTAAACTTAGCAAAAATTGCTGTCATTCACAACTTTTAGTAATATTGTCATTCAGCCAAATTGTTATATATGGTTAAAAGAATAATGTTGACAAATATCGTAAATATTTTTTAAAAATTGTACACGTAAGTGATTTTCCCTATAAATTATTTTAAAGTTCGTTAATAATCTTAGAAGTTCAATATTATAAATGCACGTTCCTACATCTATCCCCCAAACAAAAAAATTTCAAAAATAGGCAAAACTAGAAGTATGATGAAGAAACTTGATAATCAAGCATATGTAGAAATAATAATAATACTATATTGCAACCAAATGGGGTTACAGAAGGAATATGCTGTTTTGGGATAAGGATTAACGTGAGCTATGTATGTTGTTTAAATAAGTTTATAAGATGATAAGTGTAACATATCATTGCCAACATAAATACAGTTGAGAGAGTTGAAAAAAAAAATACATCTATATAGAGCCTATAGGTCTCTAAAGAAATAATTAATGTAAGTAACCCACAAGTTTTTTTTTTTTTAAAGGATTAGCAAGTTGACATTCAAATATTATACTCAATAACATTTTCACATTCCAACTTAGCTCTTTGTGTAAGTAACGCGTTAATATCCTTTTCATTTTTCTATATCGATAGTCTTTCTATATTTAAAAGATAGGGATAAAGTCTTTATATATTCTACATCTTTTTAGATTTTGCTCACTTGTAAAATTACATTGAAATTCATTACAGTTAAAATCTCAAAAAAAAAATTCTTTAGTGAAAGAATTTTTTTTTGTCATTTTTGATACGAAAAAGAAATCACGTTTATCATAAACCAATTGCACAAACAAATGCTCTATTGTCATGTTGTGTGCACGATACTATATTTCAAAACCCAATTTAGAAAATAATTGTGGAAGACATTTGGAAAAAGTTACTCTTTCTATCCCCATTTAAATACTTGTCAAAGTTTATCTATAATTATTTAAATTTAAAAATAACTTGATTGCATGTACACATGATTCCTATTTTTAAAGATATAAAACTATATACCTTTGATAAGTATTCTTCACTGAAATTTAAATCTCAACTTCTTAATCCAAATATTTAACTTATTTTCCAAACTTTCAATATATCATCAGACTTTAAGAAAAGCTTAAAGAAATCTATCACAATTATTTTATATTATATTTTATAGTAGTACATGAAACTTAAAACTCTTTTAACTTTAAAACATTCCAACTAAAGTCAATTTTTTCCCCTATCGTGAGAAATAAAGAATTATTAAATTATTTTTGGTATGAAAAAAGAGAATGTTTGACAAATAAGTTGCGTATAAAATTGCTATAGCATCAAATGAGGACCGGAAAATGAGCAGCAAATTCCGCACCACATATGATGAAACAGAAAAATCGCTGGCTTTTCGATTGATTCCTTACTCCCCTATTAAAACTTTTGGAAATGAGAACTTTTTTTAAAAAAAAACTTAAAATGATGCTCTAGAAATATCGTATAAATTTATATTTAATTGGATCTTAATATAAATATCGAACACTATTTAGAGAAAATATACGCATTAAACACCAATTATAGTGTTAACGTAACCTTCACATAAGAGTTTGATTCTCTTTCTAGCCTTATTTCTTACCTCGATGTAATAAAAATATTTTAAAGAATAAAAATAAAAATAGAAACACTTATTAATGATCATAGTATATTCCACGTGTAATACGCTGAGATTTACGGATGATAACTAACTAAACCAGCGCGTTACAGCTGACGTTTGTTTGTTAACACAAGCAAACCAAAATCCAAAATTATAAATTGGTAAAAGTTGTTTATCATCAGCTCTTCCAAGTTTCTGCATCACATAGCGAGAAAAAAAAAGGTACACCGACTCATTTCTAAATTATGTTGTATAATATATCATGCATGGGTTTTTAATTTGTATAGTTTCCACAAAATAATTAATATATAAATATACACATAACTTTATTTCTTATATGTATATATCTTTTTCTAGCTTAGAAGAGGATTAATAGTTTTCTCATTTATCTTGGGCGTGATCTAATTCTGAGCTTAGTAGGTCACGTCTTTAGATCACCTTATTAGGCAAATGAAGCACTATTAGTTATCCGCTTAACGATATATTTGTACATACTAATTGCTACTATAAGCTTGTTAGTGGAGGACGGGATTATAAGGTGGGGAATCAAAATTATTGAGGTAAGTTATAATTAAGATCCCCTAATATAGCTTCTTGAATTCTGATGACTTGGGTATTTCAGGAGATTGTTGGTTTAGCTAAAGTTTAGTAATTTTTTTAAAAGTTATTTGCGTTTTGTTACTCTGCATATCAGTGATGTAATGTGTTGAATGGGTAGAAAGTGTGTTGATGGAGGAACATTGGATTTATGGTAATTAGCTTCTCCATATTTCTGCTGGTTCAGTTAGTTTGAGAGATTGCTTCTTATTACCAGTAAGTTGAAAGTTGAAAATATTCGAGAAAAAAAGTATGAGTTGCAGATTGATTGTATATGGTCATAAATAGATTGTGGATTACAAGTCCCTGGTTATCTAAAAATGGATTGCAAACTCCAAATTTTAGCCTGTACTAGTGTTTAAATGCATGTTTAGCAGCCTGCCATATCGGTGTCAAGTAACATTACTTCCAACCATACCAAAACATTAACTTATCTCTTTGTTATTTAATTTGTGCAAGGGAGGACAGACACTTTGTTTGTTTGTTTATATCTTTGCTTGCCTTTTCACATTTTCTTCCTAATCTATCATCTTGGATATTATGACTTAATTGAAAGCTGGAATCTTTCTTTGTGATCATGCTAATTATTGGATGTGCACTTGTCATTTTCTGTATCACTTTTTAATGGCACACATATTTGGAATCTTGCAGAAATATCCCCCAACAGTCAGGCGTTTGCTTTCCATAAAGAGTATAAATTTTGATCGTAAACAGATACTTATAACATTCAAGAATGAAGTTTGGTAAGGAATTCAAAAAGGAAATGGTCCCAGAGTGGATAGAAGCTTATGTGGACTACACTGGACTCAAACAAATATTACAGGAGATCCGCCGTTTCAAGGAAAGCAATCAGCATCCAACGCCTGCAACATCTTTAGATCAGAGGTTGGCATTGTATCGCAACTTTAGTGGTCTAAATCTACAAGGCAGTGTTCAGAATACTAGTGATATTGAGAACCAGGTGATAGCAGTAAACACGGTGCCACACGAAAACTACAGAAAATTTTACAAAACCAAGTTCCTGGCATCTCCTGAAGGAGCAGAAAATGAAATTAGCTTCTTTGACAAACTAGACCATGAATTCAACAAGGTTAATACCTTCTATAAGGACAAGGTGGATGAAGTCATGAGGGAAGTAACTTTGCTGAATAAACAGATGGATGCTTTGATCGCGTTACGTATCAAGGTAATGGATCCGGGTTTCAATGCATTTCCTTCCCTTCAAAGTCTTTCCTTGGACATTAACAATTCAACACCTTCGAGGATCACATCTCCTCTCAGAATGACAGTTGTAGGTAAGGGACTCGATCAAATCCACTTCATGAATTTCACATATTAGATGTGCAACTTTGAGAGAATATGACTCTTTAACATGTTCTAATTAGGAGTTTATGAGCTTAACAGGTAGTAACTATATAGCAATAAAATTGATAGTTGGAATTTTCATGATGCTGATCCCCCTTCGGAGCAGACTCA